GTGACAGCGAGTAGAATGTATCGTTGTGACGTTCGCGCGAAATTATCGTCAGAGGGTATTGATATGTGGCGAAGAGCGCGAGTATATGTAAAGAAAAAAATGTACTAATATTTCTATGTAAAAAATATATGGTATTAATATGTATACTAATTGAATATATGTATAAAAATATATACACGAATATAAGAATATACACGAATATATGTGTAAGAATTTGTATACGAATCTATATGTAAAAGTGTGCGTAAAATATGAAAATTATTATAGGAGTATTAATAAGAAGATAATATTTTTATTGGAAAATGTGAATGTTGTGTGATGCGTCATTTTTTTCGCGCTCGCTACGCGTGACTACGGGAAGTCTGACCGCAACGGCGATAGAAGATTAGTCATTCTATTGTTTATTTCTTCGTTTTTATTCTATTGCTATTTTATCGTTGTCATGCTTTTATTTTTGTTCTCTATTTTGTATTATGACTGATATTGCGTATGGGATCTTTAGCGAGATCGTCATTCGTTGGTGTGTAATCGCGCTACTTATATTTGGATTCGTTCGACGAGAATAATCTCACGTGATACAGAATAGAAGTTGAAGTGATTTTAATTTCTGATTCGTGACTCGGATCGATTCATCGCGTCGAACCTCGCCCTCTCACGACCGATGGCAACATCGATCGAACGGTTCGCGCGTATTTTGGTCAGCGACGCGCAGTGTCGATTTGACTTCTGTCTCGCGTGATGACGCCCGCTCGTGGAATTGCCGTGATCGCGTGCGCGATAGCCGTTATCGCGGCGATTCGCGACTCCGTTGCCAACAGCGATTCCGTTGCCAACAGCGATTCCGTTGCCAACAGCGATTCTGTTGCCAATAGCGACGAGGAGGCGATTCGGTTTTTGCAAACCTACGGATATCTGGATGGTGATAACGTGCAAACGATATCAGATAACGCGACGTTGGCTCTGAGACACGCGATTGCGCTTTTTCAGGAGTATTATCGTATACCTGGTGATAGTGTTCTTAACGAAGTTACATTGGAACACATGCGTAAACCGCGATGCGGTGTCAAAGATATATTACATGAGTTGGACGATTCTCCGAGGAAATGGGCAAGGACGCATCTCACTTGGAACTTTCATCTGGCGAGCGAGAGCGTTTTACGAGTCACCAAAGTCGCGTTCGAAATGTGGGCTGCGAATTCATCGCTGACGTTCGAGCGCAATTCAACGAATCCCGATATCGTAATATCGTTTCGAAAAGGTTTTCACACGTTTGTGGATCCTCGGCATCGAGGTAGCCGAATATGTCCGTCGTTGTTGGACGGACCGGGAAACGTGTTAGCTCACGCTTTTTTACCGTCGTCAGAAGTGTCAGAGGTGCACGTGGATAGCGCGGAGAAGTGGCACATCGAGTTAACTGTTAATCCTGACGATACGATTCATCTGTTGCATACGTTGACGCACGAGATCGGTCACGCATTAGGATTACATCACAGTCCTTTAACTGAGTGATAATGTACGCTTTTGTTCCCTCTAAGACCTTTCCCGTGCGATTGAGCGAGGCAGATGTTCTCGCCATT